GAGAGAGAGAGAGAGAGAGAGAGAGAGAGAGAGAGAGAGAGAGAGATGAACACTTAATTGCAAACAAGAGTGACACTAATAAATCACATATTGATTATTTTCTAACTAAAAAATGTGATAAAAGATTTTGCAAATATTGCAAGGTAATGTCAGGAGAGGGTCTTATGACCCAACATATGTTACTAGTCATGGGTATAAGATTTAAATGTAGTCAATGTAAGAAAAAATACCTAAGATACCTAGGATAAAGTGGTGGAACCTTAATAAACAAAAATAAAGAGAAAGATTTACTAAGACTTTACTTGAAAATATCAATTTGAATATGGAAAAAAGAAAGCAAATAAAACATGGGAGAAGGTAATTAAAGAGATAAAATCAATTACTAAAAGAGAATTAGAAGTTCCTAGAGGTAGTAAGTGTACTAAAGAATTGTGGTGGTAGAATCAAGATATTCCAAGAAAATGTTAAGTAGAAAAAAGCGTGCTACAAATTATTATACAAGTGTAGGATTGATAAAAATCAGTGTTCTAAAAGTCGATAGGCGCCCGCTAGGCGCCCGACCAGCGCCTAGCGCCTAGAGCGCCTAGTCGGGGCCTAGGCGGCGCCTAGAAATTATAATAAATATATTATTTTTTATTTATTTTTACAATTTCACTAATGAAATTATAACTTATAATTAATAAATCCATACACCTAAGTCCCAATAATATTATTAATATTATATTATAAAAAAACTCCAAGTCAAAATAAGTACATAACCACAATATAATTTCTTCTCATTGTAATTTTATCAAACACATTATCTACATGTTATGTTTTAAATATTACACAACATAAGATAAATATAAAAAATTATAAAATAATAAATTATAAGATTTATTATTTAAACTCAATGCATTTAGTAAAAAAAAAATTGTAAAAACCGCCTAGAACCCGCCTCGGCCGCCTAGAACCCGCCTCAGCCGCCTAGTCCCGCCAAAACCGCGTAGCCGCCGAGGCATGATGAACGAACGAGAGTGTTGATGGTGGTTGTTGCCTATTCGGTTGTATGTAATCGCGCACTCGGGCCTTCGACTACACACGATAGATGTGACTAACAGACGCACTACGGCCTTCTCTTAGACACCGTGACTTCAAGACGCACTAATAGCCTTCTCTCCGACACTGTATGTAAACACGC